TTAATTCAACCCATTTTATTTTTAAGTTAAGTTTATTTTTAACTCGGGATTTACACAACCCACCAGGTAAGGTCAAGCAGCTATGCATGTAGATATTCATAACATCACAAATGTAAGTTTAGTGGTCAGTACTCTTCAGTACAAATGTACATAAAGCAGTTTTAACATCATTTGAAATTCACGATGGTGACTATAATTATACCCAACTCTGGTTTGGAAGTAGTATGCATGCGTTAGGACTAGTCTATAAGATATATTCAAAAGTTTCTCTGGGCCCTCCATAATTTATTGATTGATCAACCAAATATCCTAATTTAGAGGGACATTATTAACAAAACATTAAAGGGTGGCTAAATTGAGCCACACCTACATAATTTATTAGAATAGTATTTTATATTTTGAGTTTTGTTTTTTAATTTCACCTTTCATCAATTTTTTTTAAAAAAAAATTATATAATTTAATATTAAATTATTTAGAAATTAAACTTTGTAAAAAAAAAAAATTCTTTATGTTCAGTTATATGCCTATCTTATGAATTTAGTTTTTTTTTTTTCAATTTCAACCTTTAATATTAGATTTATTAGAAATGAAATTTTGTTTGTTTTATATGAATATATCTCAATCTCATAAAACAGATTGAAATTTTAATAAATTAACTTAAATTGACTTAAGTCATTTTGTTTAGTTATTTTTTTCTAATTGATTTTGTTTTTTTTATTTCATCAGGTTGGCTTTATTCATTTTTTGGGTTCTTTTTTAATTGAGTATTTTTTAAATTGAGCTTGATAATTTTCTTCAATTTGTTTTCTATAGACTTATCCTGATACCATAACTTAAGTCACGATTTGGTAAATTAATCTAGGTTGACTCGATTTATTTTTTGGGTTATTTTTTTAATTGAATATCTTCTTCTTCTTTTTAATTTCAACCTCCAACAACTCAATCTTGTTCTTTTTATTTATTTTTTATTTCATCCTTCAATTTATTCAAGAATTGAACTTTATAGTTTTTTCATTTTTTCTGTAAAATTACCCAGAACTCTTAGATTTAGTTTTTATTTTCTTTCAATTTTAACCTTCAATATTGTATATGTTAGAAATTGAGTGTTGTCATTTTTTTATTTGATTTTTATAAAATTATTTTGATCATACAACTCAAGTTGTGAGTTTAATAAGTTAGCCCATGGTGACTTATTTTTTGTGTTTTTTTTAATTTATTTTATTTATTTTATCTTTCAATATTAAATTGGTTGAAAATTAAACTTTATAATTTTTTTTATATTTACTTTCCATTAGACTATCCTACTCTCATTACCCTACTTATTAGTTTGGCAAATTGATCAAAGTAAGAAAAATTAATTTGATATTTTTTTTAATTTTATCATTCAATATTATGTTAATTAAAAATTGTTCTTTAAAATTTATTTTAATTTATTTTTTATAAAATTATTAAAATCTCATAATTAAAGTTAAAAATTTAACAGATTAACTTGAAACAATCTAATATATTATTATATTGATATTTTTAAAAAAATATAGCTCAATGTGTATCATATTTTGAATTTATAATTAATTTTTATTATTATTATAAAATAAGTTAGAAATATTTAGATATTTTTTTACATAAAAAAATTAATCTAAACCACATCATAACATGTTCCAATAATCTAATTTATCCCTGAATTCACACAAAGTCGTTAATGTGCATATAAATACCAAACTTCTTCGAATATATATATAAAATACAATTATCTTGATACAAAACATACCCAACTGGCATTTTGCTTTAGAGATGGCAAACTTGATTCAAGCCAGCATAGCATAGATGATCATGAATACATATATTTTAAGAAAACAAGAAAGGAATCAAGAAGAAAGATCAAACATATAAATGACTGTCACGGTCCCCAAACCATTATTTCGCAGCAAAATCATTAATGCTAATTTATGGCCAGATGCAAGCCCAAACCGAAAAACAGCATTCTCAAACCACAATCTTGAGACGGAATCTACAGGCCCTGATCAAGGAGGTAATCACCCAACCTCTCAACTATCATGTTACACTGTCCTGGAGTCAATGGCTCATCATAAATACCAAAAATAAGAGCTTGGGCGGTTTTCTTCACAGTGATGCCACCAGAACCCTGAAAAATGCATGACGTAACAACGTTGAGATGTGAGATGAAGTTACTTCACCTGATCATAGAACATGTTTAATAACATTCAAGAATTGCAATCCAACTTGTCCTTACAAATTGGTTTCTGCAAGCCACAGCTAAACCAGATTGGGTCAGCCTTCAATATTTCTAGAATTTTGAATAAAGACTGGGAAAATGCGATCAAAGTAGTAAGGACTTGCATAGGTAGTCAAAAAATTAAATTCTATTAGATTTAGTATTATTCATTCAAGGAGTTGGAGTAATGAATTTCAAGACAATGAGTTAACGGAGGGAAAGTTCTTAACATCATCAATAGCAGAAAAACATTACGAAGAGTCTTTATGGAACGAATCCTTGAGTTAAGAAAATGGAAAGTGAAAAGATCAAACCCTATAAGCACATTAATCATGATAAAGCAACAAGCATAAACTTAAAGATTTGTACGAATTATTTTAAGCTTTAAATACGATTAAAGATTCAAAGTAAAAGGCCTTTATCTTGGGACACCAGCATTACCCTCTGTCATGTGTTACACAATAGCATTCCACAACTTAAAGCATCCTCGTAAAGTTGACACCAAACCATGTCATTCATTAAATGACTACACAGTTGTCACTACTTTAAATGGCTAAATCTAGGCAACAATATGAATCATGCTAAATCACGGCAAGTATGAAAAAATAATATCAATTACTGAATTATCTCATGGTGAATGAGAACCTAGCATTAGAAATGAGAAATAATGTCGTACCTTCTTTCCACGAATCACAGCTCCAGGCTCTCCCTGGATCACCATGTACTTTGTGCCACCAATGTGCAACCCAGTTGGGGCTAGAGATCCAGGTTCATCAAAATCTTTCATGATGGCAGAAATCTCCTCAGGCTTATACTATAAACAACCAGTGATAAATCTTTAGGTCAATGACACATGAAACAGGAAAAGAAAACTGACGATACCACTCCAGCTTATCAACTAGTTGAAACCATATCCAGCAAGAAAAGGGCATTCAACAACAGAAGAAATAGTGACAATAAATTCAAAAGAATAGCACAATCAAAACTCTGTATTCACAATACAAACAATGGTTAAAGAACTAATAAAATGATAACAAAATGTTTTTTGCAGGTCCAATGGCACAACATTAAATACAAGCTCAGAAAAATCATAGGGGAGAGAGAGAGAGAGAGAGACGCCACATAGCATTTCAGCTAACATTCTCACTGCATGCGAATGTTTATACACAACAAATCAGAACAAAGATTCAAATCATCCTTTTAAGAATGATATGAAAAGCAAAACCAAGTCCACAATCCATTTAACTCTGACAACGCGCATCCACTTACAATATATACATTATTATCATAAACCATTTCCTACAGCTAATGGGGCGCTTTCCTTATCCTTAAAAGTCAGAGCCAATCACAAACTGATTGCCAAATGCACCATGTTACAAAAAAAAAAAAAATCCATCTTTAAACAATCAACCGATTTTGTTCTCTCGAATCAAGAAAACCAAGAACATAGAAAGAAAGGTTAATAATAATATTGAATGACAACAAAAGCATCACATTTCAAAAGTTGATTGCAATTTGCAACAAAAAAGGATTAAAAAAAAAACTTAACTAAACCTCTCAAAAATTTAAAACTGGAAAAGGCCAGATCCTTAAATAATCCATCATTCCTAGTTCAATAAAACACAACAACCAATGACCAATCCAAACGAGAAACAAAGGAAGGAAATAATTGTGATTAAATAAGAGTAATGAATCAGATCCGATAAAATCTCAATCTAAATAATATTGAGACAGACAACACAATTTAACAAAACAAAACAGATCAAGAAAAGACCACCTGTGGGAAAGTGGCGCTCTGAGCCCACACACTGCCATCTTGGCCGATGATGGCGGCAGCCGTCAGATGGTTACCCTCGATGTCGCACATCAGGTGATCATCAACATATGTTTGCCACGACATTTTCGATCAAAAAATAACTACCGTTGATTTCTTCTTTCTTTTGTTTTTCCTTTCGGATTTTTCTATCTTATGTTTTAGCTTCTCTTCTATTTTGAAAATCTTTGGTTCGAAGAGGGGGGGTATTTATAGTGTTTTCAAAGCGAGACAGAGAGAGAGAGTATAATTCGTGGGCCCCAAATCAAGGGGGTGATTGATGATGTGGTGCCTTGCTTTCTCATTGAATCTCCTCCCAACATTTCTACATGATTCAATGAGTGCCCCTCACGTTCTCCTCCTTCTCACTCGCTTTTTTTTTATAATTTCTTTTTTGGAAAACTCGCACCATATGAAGACACGTGGTGGTATATTCTTCACTACCAGTTCAATAATTCCACGTGGCAACTTCCAGGTCTAGTAAAATATCTGGTTGCATATAAAAGAAAATTACAAATGTGAGAATGTTCTCCGATGGAGGGGGGCGGCATCATCATCCGCAACCCCCCCCCCGGGGTGCGTGTCACTGATTTGATGTGTAGAAAGAAAAGAGGCAGCTGTGACCGGCGCTGCGCTTAAGCTGTGCTATTTTGAGAAATATTTTTCCTCAATGCGGGAAAAAACTCGTAAAAACACAAATATTTTGGCAGCAGTGAGTCTGACTCTGACCACCCAGCCTTCCTTTCCTCCAGGCCCCCTTTTTTTGTGACTAAAATTGTGACATGTCAAAGTGTGAAAAGCTAAGGCAGGTATTGTCAGATTGCATCGCCTTATTTGGGGTGTCATATGCTTTTCAGATAATTTAATTTATGATCCTGATCGAGTCAACATGATTTCCAAGGATTTCTCGGTCCATGACCAAGTTTAGAATGGAATAAAAATACATCACAACGTAACTCAAACAAATCCTGAATATATATTATGTCACAAGGTTGAACAGAGCTTTCTCCTTTGGATGCTTGAAACCACACCAAAACTCATATGCTCAAAAGTCTCGTGTCTCAAGCAGTATTGATTCTCATGTAAATAAAATGTACAACCAAATATCCATTTCCTTGAGCTCACATCATTTTCTGCAGCATCTTTCAATCAAGAAAACATTGCACAATAGTCAATATTACAAAAAGGGAATCACCGAAAAGCAGCACTTGCTGTATGTCTATGAAGCCTGAAAATTCCCAAGTGCAGTTGACAACGACCATTTCTAATACGGTCCAGTTTGCTAAACTTGCAAACTGCTTAACAGAGAAAGACACATCAATGTTCTCGGCAAGGCAACTAATATATACCCTCATCTGCAAGATTACAAAGTATTAGCATCTGCCAAGGAAAAAAAAAGAAGTTGAGTACCATCAACAGAAGTGGGTGAAACTATTCAAGTTTGAGAAAAGGTGCATACCAGCATTGTCATCCTCCATGTTATAATCATCTTCATCATCATCAAAATCAATGTTCTGCGAGATCATAGAGTGGATAACAGTTTGTTAAAACATTTACTTGCCAACATATAAGTTTATCTTGAAGCCTTTTAAGAATGCACAAGTTGGGTGTATATAGTGTCACATATAAAAACATTTGCCCCCTCTAACAAACATCAAGAAGCTTTTTACAGATGCACAAGCCTATTTGAACAGATCTCTTACATTATTTCATATTAAACTAGAATCCACACAGAATCGTAACATTTCCCATCTCGTAATAAAATCACCACAGAATCAAGAATCTTTTTACAGATGCACAAGCCTATTTGAACAGATCTCTTACATTATTTCATATTAAACTAGAATCCACACAGAATCGTAACATTTCCCATCTCGTAATATATGCTCAACTTTAGATAGCTAATGAGTGAACTTTAGTTGTACAAATTAGCAACTTAAATATTATATTTTTCAACAAAATTTCTCATAGTGCTACTTAATTGGAATTCCTGCAGGCAACTAGGAGGTTGCAAATGTCCAACCAATGGCACGCTACATCTGCTCCAATAGGGGATAAACAAATTCATTAAAGATGCTAGAGTGCTGTCTACACATAAAACAAGGCCACCTATTTGTAGAAGCTGATTCAAAAACTAAACCCTCCAACTTTTCCAATGTTATGCTATTTGGTCAAAAGAGAGATGCGAGACATATGTCATGTTATTTTCCAATCATTAAAAAACTAGTTGGAGACTCCCTTATTATGAGCCACATATAGCGATTATCCATTTAAATTCCTTAGATCATGCAATCATTTAACTTGACAATCATGGAGACAGTGTTCGTCAGAGAGTCCATCTCAATGGAATTAATTTACACGCTGGAATGGAATACCTTCCATTAAAAAATCTTGTTCAAACGGAGTTGCAATTTTCCTAGTACCATTTACATCTATTTCTTGACCATTCTTGGTGATGGCATAACAAGTTGCCTATATGGCATAGAAATGAGATGTTATTATATCATGGGGATAGCTGAGGCTGACAAAGAATGCTACAATCCTGAATCATCAAAGCTACTCAAGAGCAAGAAAAAAGCTGATGCAAAATCAATAGATATACACAGGATCCTGTGTTTGCTGAGGGAACCTGATTATAATCTCCATCATCATATTCATCATCAGGTTCTTCCAGTTCTTCATCTTCATCTTCCTCGTCTTCGTCTTCTTTCTTTTCCATTTGAACCTTTTCAGCTTGGCCCTAAGTGCATGAAAGGATCACCAACTGACCAACAAATTACCACATAAAGGCAAACGATGGCATGTGGTATAAAAACTTCTGATTTTAACTCAAAAAACGAAGGAGAATCAAACAAGAAAAAAAACTTAATTCTATAGGGGCTTCATGTAAACTGTCAGAAGTATTAGTTGCAGTCATTTTTGACCAAATAGTGTAGGTAGCAGGTTGGCAGATGATTGAAGGTTTTTACCTCATACATCAATTCACGCTTCTCATAATCATCCAACTTCCTCAAGTCTGCAACACAAGCATCTAAATCAGTTTGAATAAAGATTTGAAGAACAAAAGCATCTCGAACATATCTAACTTCAGCAGGTCTATCATACAAACATCTAAATCAGTTTAAATAGATACTCAACAAATCTTCTAGCTGTAAGAATTGCTGAGTGTGGGTAATTCTAAAGAACAGATGTCACTCACCAACAAGGTAGCAAATCACAAATTACCCAATCAGATTGTGTAAAGCATAGGCAACCCATCAAAATCACTAGCCAAGGAAAAAAGTTTCTTCAAATTATGACGACCAGCAGGTGTGATCAAAATTAATAATTTATATTAGTTGTTTATATCATTCATTAGAATTCCTACATATATAAAATCAAGCTCAAACAACTCATAAAGCCAAGAAAACCCAACTTCAGCCACAAACAAATTAAATAGTGGGTGACATGTTTTCTTTTAAAGAAACAATTATTTCAAAGCTTGTATGAAATAATAGGATGACTGTATAATTGTGGTGCAACTTAATATCATCCATCTCCTGACTATGGTTGAATAAAATCGAAGGACCAAGAAAGTTTTCCAAAAGTGTAACGCTTTACATGTTTGGCTATCCTTCCATGAATCATCTTCAACGGCACTGCTGTCTATTTGACAGCTTGTAGATATATCATAAATGCATATTGTCAAGGAATCTAGTGGATCATAAATAAGAAACAATAACAATCCGAGTGCTTCAAAAGAAGCTGTCTGCATAACAGCTAACAAGGTCCAGATATATGTGAAACAGAGAAAAATATGAAATACAGTTTGTATGAGAATAAAAGAATAGCCAACTATGCCTTATTCCCCAATCTAAAGACTTATCTGTCAATATTAGATCCAGTATATATCTAATATAAGTGAGATAGACAATAATGTTTCTAAAAAAAAAACCCACAATACTGATGTCAATTTCACTTATTATAGCTACTGTAGAAATGAGCCTCCCGACCAATCCCCTAGGGAGAGCAGCTTATCTGCATGAGGGATCAGATCCTCTATCCATCTTTCTAATAGATTTATAAGCATGCCTTGAGTGCATGAGACGAATTTAGACTTTGCAGTTTTTCTCATTTGGAAAGGAAGTTTGGATTAAGACCACATCCACAAACAACTATGAGAGTAAATAAAGTAAGACCAAATCACATCTCACCTGCTGTCCACTTCACTTTTTTGTTTGGCCGCTTCCTATTTAAACCTGATTATCGTTGCATAAAGAATCTCTTAGCATGATTAGAAGCACCATTGAACAGAGAGGGGAAAACATATAAACATGCATAATACACGCATTGCTCTCATATTTTGTAATTTCAGATTGCAAACCTCCAATCAGTTCTTTAGGAAAATTTTTAGACGTGAGCTGTAAGAATTGGTCAAGTGAATCACGTTCTGATGTGATCCTTGGCTTCCCCCTGTCTGAAAATCTTTCTATGTCCATGCTCTGGATCTCTGATATCACATTCAGAGGAAATGAAAATTTGTAAAGCATCATACATTAGGCCACTTAATGTCTTGGAACATTGTTGGCAGAAAAACACCACCCAGTTCGTGTGCACAAGATAGAGGACTAAAATTATGACTACATTGCTAAATACTCTCTAATAAAAGTGACGCATAAAGTTAAACATTCTTGTCAAAAACATACAACAATCAAGATTAAACACTTGAGGATGGACCAGCAAGAAGTGTTTTTTTCCCCTAATTTCATACAAATGGGAAGCTGTGGATCTTAATTTTAAAAGTACAATATTCATTAATACCAGGCACATTGTCCTCTAATTGGGTTTGAAGATAAGTTTTTCAGACCAACATATTTGAAATATTTTCAATATGTATGCAGGTAGAGGCTTGATGCTAATTGATTTTTTAAGAGTTTGTCCCTAAACTATTAGCCAGTCAGCTGCCCTAAAAAAATAATAGTTCATGAACTTGACTGATCAATCTCAATATACCACAACCATGATACTTCCAGGGAAAAACAGCCAAGAGATCAATGATAATGGAAAGAACTAAAGAAAAAAAGGTAATATGATGGTGTCAAAGATGTAAGAAATTGAACAGTGTCCAGAGTATTTAGCTAAATCAGGTTCTTGTTTGATATCCTAACCTTTTTGTGTATAGTAATGATAATAGTGAATCAAGAAACCAGAAGTAATTTTAGCTTCCAATTTTAAGACAAGTGATCTGTTCTCATAATCGAAATTGGTTATAAGAAATATGTAAGGAATTAATTCATTCAACGAGAAAAGGGGAGAGGAATTTGAGTCCCAAATGTTCTTTGCAAACTACACTGGTTTTACAAACCAGAGCTATCAACCACTCAGCAACCTCTCAGGAATAAATGTGTATTCTTCTTCTTCTGCCTAATTGAAGTTTGAACATTTGAAAGAAAGGAGAAAAACATAAAACTCCATCTGAACTGACTAAAAGGTAAACCATACACAATTTACAGCAAATACGCAACACAAGAAGTGAATAAGAATAATAACACACCAGTAATATCTTGTCAAAACCCATATCCTCAAGCAAAAAGGAAAAATCTCAGATTTCTATGATTGACCTACTTATTTGGGAAACAAGATACTAAAAAAGTGGTCTACGAGTTCCATGCTTACCCTTTGAAACAATCTCCTCAAGATAACAAGGAGAGGATTTGAAATAGTTTGTTAACCTTGAATTCCAAACAACTAATGCCCTTTCCTCCTTCACATTTTTGGGATCAGGTAATTCAATTTCCTGGAATAGCAAAATTTTCTTTTTCAGGGAAAACAACATAAAGAAAGACATCCCATTACATTTCTCTATCGAATAATAGCAATCGATGCATTTTGCATTGGAAAACAGAAACACAAGATGCATGCCTTACAAGCCAAAACATAAACAGTACAAGGATATTTTTTAAGAGAAAAATTGCAATATTCACAAAAGATAAGTTCATTTCGTCTCCGTAGAAACACACCAACTCTGAATCATATGAATGATTTTATTTTTTTTCCCGAATGAACTTCTAAGAAAAGTTTTAATCCAGCAAAAATGAACCCAGTACTTCCAAGTTCCTCTTTGGCCTGTCTTTCGTCTATTTAACAAATTCCATAAAAGAATCATTGCAACCATAGTTCGAAAGTTCACAACTTTCAAAACCCATAAATTAAATAAGAAATTACATAATTCAAACTAAACCGACTAAGTTTAAACTGCAAAATTATATCAAAAGAATTACTAGCAAAGAATAAATAACAAAAAAATAAAAATAAAGAGAAGGCTGACATACAGGAAATAAATCAAAGGGCTCTTGCCTTGCATAGCTAAAACCACCACCGCCTCCAAATCGTCCTCTCCCTCTCCCTCTATAAGCCATCTCTGCACTTCACTATAGCTTTGTTTCCGAGAAGAAAGCGGTTAAAACTATTTCTAGTTGCTACACTAGAAAAGGAAGTGACATGAGAGGTGCAGCAGGGTGGCTTGGCTGATCAGTCGCTCGCTCCCATTCACATTGTTATTGATTAATTATTAACAACAAAAACTAAAATTTCGTAACATATTATTTATTAAAATAATATTTGTTTTTATTTTTTTCATTAATGTTTTTATAATAAATTGTATTTTTTAACATTAAATTTATTTTTTATTAGGTTGTTATATTCTCATTTTAACTTCATATTTTTTATTTGATTTTTTCAATCAATATTTTTTTAATTTCATCATTCAATATTAGATTTATTTTTTTAGTAGGTTATTTCACTCTCATAACACGGGCTATGGATTTGACAAATTAACTTAATTGACTCTAGTTTTCTATTTCCCTTCCATAATAGACTTTTCTCTATAATTTTATCTTTTAATTTGGGTTGATTGAAAATTAGGTTTTATAATTTGTTTTGTTATTCTTTTTATTAGGTTATCCTAAAGTCCCGACCCAAGAATTTTGTTTAACAGGTTAACCTAAGTTAACTCGAGTAATTTTTTATGTTTTTTAATTAATTTTTTTTCAAATTTATAATTCAATATTGGGTTGATTGGGAATTGAATTTTATAATTTATTTTGATTTAATTTTTATGGGGTTACTCTAATCTTATGACCAAAGTCACGAGTTTTGGAAGGTTAACCCATGTTAAATCAAGTTGTTTTTTTTTTTTTTATCTATGAGGTTATTTTAGTCTCATAACACTAGTCAAAGGTTCTTTAATATTGGATTTGCTTTTTATTAGGTTGCCTTAATCTCATGACTCTCGTTGTAAGTTTGACGAGTTAGCTTAGTTGACTCTTTTTTTTTTCTTTTTATTAATTAATTTTTTCTTCAATTTGATTATTTAATATTGTGTTTAATTGAGAATTAGACTTAATAATTTGCTATGATTTACTTTTTATTAGGTTATTCTAACATCATGACTCAAAAAAGGTGCTCAACAAATTAACATAGATTCACTTAAATTATTTTTTATGTTATTTGTTTAATTGATTTTTTTTCTTCAAATTCCATCATTTAGTATTGGATTTGCAAGGTCAATTGGAAATTTAGCTTCATAATTATTTTAATTTTCTTTATATAGATTATTGATTAGTACTTAAAAGTGTATTTTATTAAGGTTTTATATTATCATTTTGCACTTGAAGTATCAATAATTCCTTAACTAAAGCATGTTTTATAATAACATATCTCATAATATAAGATACCTTTAATTTGTGGTAAATATTCATTTTAAATGCAGGCCTATCACATAAATGAAAGGATTGATTGATTAGTTTAAGAACTGAAATCGAAAGGATAAAGAGATGGTCAAACTTAGAAAAGAGATGTTGATGCAGTCCAAAACGGAACACTATTCAATAATTGGGTCATATCTAGAGCTCTAGATCTCGGATTTAGGTTTACTTTATATGGTTAGAAAGGTAAGACATAGGTCTACAACTTTTATATGAAGCCCAAGATTTAAAAAGGTCATTTTCAAATCCAAATTGTAGCAACAACAAAAAAGTCTGAATCTGTCCTACAGCCCTAGCACTGTTTAGTGTTTGGCCCATATCTAGAGTTCTAAAAGTTCAAATAACCTCTATTTTTTTTCTGGAAAGCTGAGATAATTTCCTACAACTTTCATGTTTTCAAGTGGTTCCAATTTTGACGTTATCAATAACATTTTGGGCAGACAAGAGAAGATAAAGATTGTCATCAAGTCAAGAGTTGGTCACCCACTCATCAATTAGTCATCAAATCAATAGTTTCCAATTTTGGCCTATAAAAGGAGACATTTTCCATGCATTTAGGTATCTTGGTCTCTAGATCAAGATCATGCTTTTGCTTTCTCTCTTTGTAATTTTGTAATGCTTAAGTTTTGCTTTTATTAATATCAAGTTTATATCTTTCATTTCCTTTCCTTTACTTAGTTAACTTTTATCTTATTTATGTTCTTATTTTGTTTATTTATTTTTCTTTCTTTCATTACGCTTAGTTAAGTTTATTATGTCAAGGTGAAAAGGTTACACTAATGGTGTAAGAATAAGTATAGTGTAAATTTAACATGGACTTTAATGTT